AGTTTGAGGTTACAGTGAGCTATGATCATGCCGCTGCACTTCAACATATCTCCTTTAAAAAAAAAGTAAAAGACAGTTTCAGAATAAAACACTAACCAACGTAGCATGTATTGTCAGGAAAAAACAGACTTCAAGGAAAAACATTAAGAGATAAAAAGGTCACTTTATAATAAAAGGTTCATACATATATGGTGTACATAAGATCTCAAAAGACATAACTGACCCTAAAAACATGCTTGAAGGCATTTTTTCTTTTTTTCTTTTTTTTTTTTTTGGAGACAAGGCCTTGCTCTGTTGCCTAGGCGTGATACAGCTCACTGCAGCCTTGACCTCACAGGCTCAAGTGATCCTCTCACTCTCTCACCTCAGCCTCCTGAGTAGCTGGGACTACAGGTATGCATGCACCACCACACTCAGCTAATTTTTAAAAATTTTTTTTGTAAAGACAGAGTGTCTCACTATGTTGCCTAGACTGGTCTGGAAATCCTGTACTCCCGCCTTGGCCTCCCAAAGTGCTGTGATTACAGGTGTGAGCCACCACGCCTGGCCTCCCGAAAGCAAATCTTCCTTCCTAAACTGAACCAAAAACAAAGAAAATCTTCCACCGAAGTGGGGAGGCAACTGACTGAACTAGATACATAGAGCTGACATAAGGCTAAGAAACCATTACCCAACTGCAGTCACATAACATTTTAGTCCACCCAGGACTGCATATACAACGGTGGTCCCATAAGATTATAATGGAGCTGATTCATATAAAAGTATGGCACTTACAATTATGTACAGTACATAATACTTGATAAGGGCAATAAATGACTTATTGGTTTATGTATTTACTATGCTTTTGGTGGTTAGAGTACACTCTAACTTATTTTTTAAAAAGTTAAAACTGCCTATGGTATTCAACACAGCAACATGCTACACAGGTTTGCAGCCTAGGAACAACAAACAGGCTATACCATATAGCCTAGGTGTGTAGTAGGCTGTACCATCTAGGTTTGTGTAAATACATTCTATGACATTCATAAAAGGATGAAACGGCCTAATGATGCATTTCTCCAGAACATATCCCCATTATTAACCATGCATGACTGTATATGTAAACAAATTCTATGTTAGAAGACTTAATGACCATAACTGCTATACAGCTTTTCCCTAGAGCACAGCGAGATACAAGGTGGAGTGCTTTTGAATTCCATGCTGCTATGGTTTGAGTATCTGTCCCCTCTAAAACTCATATTGAAATTTAATCCCCTATGTGGCAGCACTGAGAGGTGGGGTCTTTAAGAAGTGATTGGATCATGAGGGTTCCACCCTCACAAATGAATTAATCCATTAGTGGATTAACGTATTTCTTTATAAATTACAGTTTCCCACCAGGGGAACTGGAGATCCGAGCTACCCAGTTAGCACACTCAGCCCCCTCCCCATGTGATAACCCTGCACTGCCTTGGGAACCTTCAGAGTCCCCACAAGTAAGGTGCTCACCACATGGGGCCCCTCGATCTTGGATTTCTCAGCCTCTATAACTTCAAGAAATAAATTCTTTATTCATGCTGATTTACAGTAGAACAGTGTAAGTCAACACTCTTTCAAAACCAGGACAAAAATTATCTCATCATAAGTTATCATTGCTCACGTACATAACCATGGACGGGTTATTTAACCACTCCATACCTATTTCCTTGTTAAAATGTTGATGCTACCTATCTCTAAGTGCATTAAATGAGCTAATAATACACACAGAATTTAAAACAATGCCTGAATAATCAATCAGTAAGTGTTGCCTACCACATTATTTACCCCTGTTATGCCCTTCTGTACCCTCTTCAGGAAGTAATTCCAAGACCAAAATTATAACTCTAGACAGGTGTGGTGGCTCACACCTGTAAACTCAGCACTTTGGGAGGCCAAGACAAGATCACTTGACTTGAAGCATTTAAGACCAGTCAGGGCAACACAGCAAAAGCCTGTCTCCACAAGGAAAAAATACATATAACCCTGTTTCCCAATAAAAATCAAAATGTACAAAACTTCTGAATAAGTAAAAATGTATACAAATATGCAGGAAGTAAAAGGCAGAGTTGGTAACCAAAGGTATAGAAGCCAATTTCTATGGCAAGCCCAGTAATGTACTCTGATGTTCTGCAGTCATTGAGCTAAACAACTTACATATGGATAGGTGTAAAGTAACAAGTCTCCTTCTAACCCCTATACTGCCCAAAAACTTATTTAGATGAAACCAGTTTGAAACGGAATTTAAAATCATCAATTATAACAGGTTCCTTCGTGCAAACGTTGTATTACCCTATGCCCCCTTTACCTTTTTCTTCCTTCACAGCTCTCACCACAATTTGACATTTCACATCTAAGCAACCAATTTGCCTCTTTTGCTCATGAGATATATGTCCATACAGGTGCCAGATAGTTACCCAAAGAATAAACTGAGAACACAAGTAATTACAGGTTTGATTAAACTTGAAGATCTGAATACATTGATCATTAATATTTTGATACTGATGAGGTTTCATTCTAATCCTTCGTTTCAAATTTACAACCAAGAAGTAAACAAATAAAATACTGTATTTTGACATCTTCAGACCTTTTAAGTCCAACAGATACTGCTTCTGTAGCCCCTTCTACAAAAAGACCCTTAGTTTTTAACATATTTTCAGCAACTTAGAATCAACTCAGTTACCAGGAGCCAACAGGAGCAAGCTGAATAAAAAGAGATGGCACTTTGGATTACATTCGTCATGGTACAGGTATTCTTTTCAAAAATCTCATTAAAGGCCAAGTGCAGTAATTTACCATATTCGGTATTAGCTTTATAATTCTGCAAATCAATGGGCCTAATATGAAAATAGGTACTTTCTAGCAGATAAAATTTAGAAAAATATTCAAATCGGTATACTGAAAACTTTTAAATTTCTATTAATTAACACAATGTTGACTTGGAAGGAGAATCTATGAGTCAGGTTTTATGATAGAAGATGTCCAAGTCCACCTACTAGGGTTTAGTTCCACATATTCTCCAAAGGATAGTATTCTTAGAACTAAACTATAGATTTAGGCCATTTATTTAAACTTGGGCAATTCGAACAAGCTTGAAACACCAGAGTGCCTTGAAAATAACTGTAAATGTCATTTATTTCCCTTTGATTTTTAAATGGTAACCCATACGTAAAAGGTTTTTCCCTTATTCAATCACAGGTCATGTGTATTACTTCCAAAGTAAATATTAATTTAAGTGAGTTAATTCCATTAACTCGAAAGTGAGTATTAATTTAAGCTGACCAAAAAAAGAGGACCCAGATACCCGTTTCCAAAGATGTTTTGAATCCACCTATTTTCAAAAGGCCAAATTTCATTTTACAGCTCTTCTGAAACCAGGGAAGCAGTGTAAATTTTTAATTGCAGCAGTGAGATACCTTAAAATGTTAGCAGTGATATTTTTAAAATGTAGTTGTTTCAGAACTTATCAGTGACCGTCTAAAATAGGGGCTCGTTGAGGACATCCTGTGCCTGGTTCATCCTTTTTGTACTCTCAAAGTCTAGCCTTCCAAGATAGGACCTCAGTTCCAGCCTCCCTACACTGCCATCCCCGAGATCTTTAGGGGAGTGGGGTTCATTGACAAGGTTGCAGGCTACAAACTTGGCTAAGTTTATACTAACACCTCATTCCATCCTACCTCCCATCTTAAAAAGGAAACAGTTTAAGTATCTTATTCTAGTGATTTCAATAAACGAACTAATTTATAAAAAAGCCAAGAACAATTAAAGTCACAAAGGGCCAAACTTACTTTCATCTAAGAACCGTTTGCAGGGGTGGTCCGATCTTTTGGCTTCCCTGTGCCACATTAGAACTGTCTTGGGCCACACGTAAAATACATTAACTAGTTGATGAGCTTTTTCAAAATAATAATAAAGCTTATGAATTTGTGTTGGGCCACATTTAAAGCCGTCCTGGGCCGCGGGTTGGACAAGCTTGGTTTAGGGGTTTAGATCGATTAGGGTCAATACTCCCCAAATAAAAAATCCTGATCAAGACACCCATCTAACTGTACCTGGGAAACACAACAACAACCTTTTGCTAATAACAGTTAACATAAGCGCTATATACTCGTTAACTTTTTAAAATACTAGCAGTGGAGGCCCTTCCTCACCATCAGCTAACATCCACAATCTTCGGTACCAATAAAAAGATTAAGACCAAAGAGAAGCAGGGAAGAGTTTGAAACCCAGGGACAGGGCTTACTAGCTTACTCTCCCTTTTCACGTTCCACCGTCTCTACAACTTTCAAAGTAAGGATAGCCCGAGGGCAAGGGTCTCCAATCAGGCCCAGCCGGTGGCCACGAAGCCCATTACCACGTGTGGAGGGACGCAGCCGGGGGGTTTCCCCTCCCCGCGCGGCCGCCCCCAATGGGCGGAGAGCCCGGGAGCGTCGCAGTCTCCCCCGCCCCCTCCCCGCCTCGGGGCCTCGTCCCTCCACAGCCCCTCCCTCCCGTCGGAATTCGCAGCCTCCGCCGTTCTTTCATCTCCCAGCGGCCTCCCTCCTGGTATTATTTTTGAGGGAAAAGCAGGGGGGTGTCGAAAAGGCGGCCGGCTCTGCACTCGGCCCGGCCCGTACGCCGGGGGCCTCCCGGTCCCCGCGGCGCAGTCGACTCTCAGGGCACCCGGGCGTCACCGCGGCCTCGCTCCGGTCCACGCGGAGAAGACGGTGGAGCTCAGAGAACCTCACGCCGCCAGGCCGCGCCAACCCCTACGTCGCCTCAGCCGTCCCAGATAAAAGCGCTGGTCGGCCCTAGGGCCCCTCTCAGACTCCGGGGTCCAGACTCCGCGGTCCTGTCCGACCTCACAGGACGACCCCGCAGGCCCTGGGCGGCCAGCGGCCCCGACTCCCCGCTCCCAGTCCCTCTATCCCTCCGGCCCTCCCATCTGCGCAGGCCGCCCAGCGAAAACTACGTTCCCCCTTCCCTTCCAGGCCCCCATCCGTTACCGGCGGCTAGTATGGGGAGCCAGGCGGCCGGAGCTGCGCAGGCAGTGACTCAGGGCGGCAGCGGCGGCGGGAGGAGCAGGAGGCGGCGCCGCGAGCAGATGGCGCTAAAAAAGACCCAAGAGCCCGCCGCTCGCGCTCATATACAATTAGCGTCAGCACGTAGGGCCCTCTCGCCGCCCTCCCCCCGGCCTTGTAGTCTCCCAGCAACGCGAGCGAGAGGCGGGTCCAGGCCGGGTTGCCTAGCAACTGAACCGTCCTTCTTCCCCGGCGACCTCCATACCGCAGCGGAGGACTCCTGCAGACCCTAGGACTCCTGCAGCCCCGAGGCCCAGCGCCGCGCTTGGGCTCCTCTGGTTCCCGCCGGTGTCTAACCTTCTCTGTTGAGCACCCCACCATCTCTTTTCTCCCCGCTGAGCCGGAAAGGAAATCTCAACCCCATCAGTTGTGGGTAAGGCCTGGCCCGCGTGCCCGGCGCCCGGCCCGCTCCGCCCCCTTCGGCGTTGTGCTGGGAATGCTGAGGGCGGGCGCTAGTCGCCTGGTCCCTCTCTCGCCGCAGCCTAGACGGCGGGCGCTCCCTGTCAGGGCCTAATTCCTGCAACTCGCCGGCCCCCGGTAACTATTTTCCCTCCCCGCCTAAGAAAAAGTTTTTTCCTCTAGACCACTTTGGCGGCCTCTTCTGCCTGTTTTGCTTCGAACTATGCCAGCGGGTCTCCGTGCCTTTAGGGGGTGCTCGTCATCCTTAGCTCCCCATCCCCCCGCCACATACTTGTACCTGATGTACAGTCCCTTCAGTTCTTTTGACGGATGAAAATGGCATATTTGTGCATTCTCTGGATGCGTTGTAATGAGGACATTCAGTATGTCTGTTGTTTCATCTTTCTGAAAAAGTAAATCGCATTAAATCCTCAGACTTGTAAAACCTCGTAACTAATTTTCAAGTGATGATGAATTGACTAACATTAACTCAAAAAGTTGTTCTCAGAATATGGTCTGAGGGTCCCCAGACCCTTTCAAGAGGAAGGTCAAAACTATTTCCATATTAATGTCAAGACTGTCTTTTGCATTCTCATTCTCTCACAAGTGTACAGTGGGGTGTTCCGGAGGCTATGTGACATGTGATAAGGAAACAGACTGAAAATAGAAGCAGATAGGAGAATCCAGTCATCTGCGGTTAAACCAGACGTTAAAGAGATTTGCAAAAACTCGATATGGGGGCAAGAGGGAGTAGTTATTTTT